TTGTTTTGTAAAAAAAATATGGCCAAAACCTACATCAAGGGCAGCCCTGAAGGAAGTGGGTGGGGGCAGGAAACAGCATAGAAAGGTCATTTAACCTGATTAAAGAACCTGGAAGAGAAGAGGGACACTATTGCTGGTCAATAACAAATTAGACATTGGAATCATGGGTTGCCCTCCTTCTCTATTGTCTCTGAGTCATTGCCCATTCTTTTTCCCATTACAAACTAAAAGATATGAGGCCTGTATCAGTATGCTATCTGTGATTGCAATTTAACTGAAATTTTCATTGATATTTTAGGTTTCAAGAGTAAGTCTTCTTAGATTTCCAAATATTTTCAAGTTATATTATTAGAAAAAAAATTCAAATATTTTAGAACTACTAGCATGCCTACAAAATGTAGCTGTGCCTAATGCTTAGAAGGACTCAGAAGATTAGAAGGCCTGGTTCTTTTCCATTATTGCTGTAGCACACTTAATAGCCTGTGCTTCCCTGCAAACGTGAATGTACCTTCCTAAGCATTCTAGAGCCAAGGGATGATGGATTGGTGTCGGAATTATTTTCCCATTATTTGACACAGGTATCATAGTTTTTATGTCAGTGATCTCACTCAGTTCTCATCAAGGTCTGCAGCCTTTCTCAAACTTCTGCCTTAGTTCTCAGCGAAGGAGTTACACCTTGTGGCTTGAAGCCATCTCCCCATTATATCCTCCTGGAATTCTCTTCCAGTCTAACAGATATAAATTATTTCTAACTGGCAATAGTGAAACCATGGAGACCTCAATTAACTAAAACCCTCAAATGGATGGACAAGTTCTAATGAGCTATTTGGATTTACTTTCTTCTTATTACTAAGAATTAAGCAAGATTAAACATTTGCTTTGGAAAATTTGAAAGGGCTCTATATTCCTACCTTAGTGAGTATAGTACAGGGAACAAGGTTATAGAAGTTGGGCTGAATCTGTACAGGCTCCAGGACATTCCCAGGAAGTTGATTTTTAAAAAATAAATACATAAATACCTGTTAACAGCTTGTTTTCTTGTCATTTGCCTCTTCCTTCTAAAAGGAGAGTGTAGCAAAAAATAAATAAATAAAACTGGTTAATTGAGAGTTCTGGTTAATTAGCTTCCAATTAATAAAGGCTTTATTATATTTTACAAAAAAATCTTCTTAAATTCTGCAGAAATTTTAGATAGGTTACACACAATGAAATAGCAGCAGGAAGAGCACAAAGAAGGTAGGAAAGCCTGAATTGCTATTAGATAGTGTTTTAAATATATGGATAAGATTATTACATTTCTGGTCTAATACCCACTGAGTAAAGAATAATGTGAAATGTCATGTGGTTTAGGGCTTTTCTCTATATGAAGGCAAGGAAATAAGGTTATAGATTTCTGTTGAAGAAATGGCCTCGGGTCGTAATTCCAAAAAAGCTTTAGCAATATTCTGTCTTTTCCCTTTCTCTGAAGAGCCATCCTTCCCATCCCATTGGGTATTCCAACACGTTGTGGGGTGGAGGGGGGGAAATCGCGCCCTCTAATTTTTTTCTCGCTGTTTATTTGGCCAACAGGATGATGAAAGTAAGCCAATATCAATGTTGTGCTTATTTCTTAAATGTGAAGCCATTAATCACACAGCTCACTATATACTTATTTCTGGAGCAATACTGAACTATCTTAACATCTTTCCCCCAAGGGTTACACATACATACACACATACATGCACAGACACACACAAACACACATACACAGTCATACACACATACAAACAAAATTAAATGCATACAAAAGAGGTCAATAAAATCCCACGTAATTAGCTAAATTAACAAAATAATCATTCTTTCCAGTAGTGTAGTAAGTCCCAGTGTTTCCCAATCCTTTAATATTTAATGAAGAACAATGGAATCCAAAATGCCTTGCTGAAAAAAAAAACTGCGAGGACTATAATTTCTCAGTTTTGGCCTTAGTATACTTTTAGTAGCATAGAAGCAGGAACCTCTCTATAATGCCCGATACAAATATGTGTGGTTGGTTCATCACCCCTTTGAAATCACTTCTTCTAATGGCCTTTCTGTTAAGAACCTCATTTCAGACTTCTTGTTGTTTTGGTCCTTTGTTTTTGTTTGCTTGCTGTTGAAAAGCAACTGATTCTCTGCTCAAAGGTCTGCTGAAATATGTGCAAATAACTAATACAAATATGTATTTGAAGTTGCTGGAGAGACCATAAGACCTACTCTTACGGTCTGTCACTTCACTGTCAAAACTGTTTGCTTTTGCCAGGCAGTTCACTTAGCCTCTTTTGAGATGGTACTTGTCTTAAATGGCATATATTTTCATATTTATCAAGTCAGTGATAATGAATGCTCCTTTAATCCAATGGTCTATATATCACTAGATTTAAAGGAATTTCTTTTCACTTTAGCAAAATCTCCCTTTTTTACTTTCTAAACTCAAACAGAGCAGTTTTTGGCTATCACCACATGTATGTAATTGTACTAAGCCCCACCCCCAAAAATTACAAAAATCTTGTAAGCTTCCAATAGCATGGGCTTTGTACATTATTTAAACCTAGATTGTAAAATTACCAACTACTGAAATATTGCAGTTAGAATTATGCAATAAATATATAAATGCCCATGAGTTAACTGTCTTTTCATTAAGAATTTAAAATTTTCTTAGAAAATTAGGAATTTGGAGATAGTGCTGTGGCGTGGAAGGTTAAGCCTCTGCCTGGGTGCCAGCATCCCACATGGGCACCAGTTCAAGTCCTGCTGCTCCACTTCCAATCCAGCTACCTGATTATGGCTTGAGATAACAGCAGAGGATGGCCCAAGTGCTTTGGTCCCTATACCCACGTGGGAGACCCAGAAGAAGCTCCTGGCTCCTGGCTTCAGCCTGGCCCAGCTCTGGCTATTGTGGCCATCTGGGGAGTGAACCAGCGGATGGAAGATCTCTCTCTCTCTCTCCTCTCTCTGTATCTCTACCTTTCAAATAAATAAATAAATAAATCTTTTATAAAAAAAGGAAAGGAAATTGGGAATTTATTTTGATAATAGAAAATTTGTCTTTTCCAATGTGAGGAACATATTTTAAAGTACTGGCTAACACTAGGGATGACTCTAGGACTTTAAGTACTACATGTTAAATACATATAAAATCGGCCCGCGCCATGGCTCAATAGGCTAATCCTCTGCCTGTGGTGCCGGCACCCCGGGTTCTAGTCCTGGTCAGGGCGCCGGATTCTGTCCCGGTTGCCCCTCTTCCAGGCCAGCTCTCTGCTGTGGCCCTGGAGGGCAGTGGAGGATGGCCCAAGTGCTTAGGCCCTGCACCCTATGGGAGACCAGGAGAAGCACCTGGCTCCTGGCTTCGGATCAGCACGGCACGCTGGCCACAACAGGCCACTGAGGGGTGAACCAACGGAAAAGGAAGACCTTTCTCTCTGTCTCTCTCTCTCACTGTCCACTCTGCCTGTCAAAAAATAAATAAAAATTTAAAAAAAAGAAATACATATAAAATCATCCCTCTGTCTCTGTGTGGATTGGTTCCAGATCCCCTGTGGACACCAAAATCTCTAGAGGTTCAAGTTCTTTATATAAAATGGCATAGTATTTGCATATATACTCTGGTCATGCTCTCATATATTTTAAATTATCTCTAGATTACTAATAATACCTAAAACAACATTAAATCTATACAAATATTTGTCATACTATATTGGTTAGGAAATATTGACAAGAAAAATCTCTGTGCATATTCAGTAAAGACACAATATTTTTTCAAATATTTTCTTTATTTATTTGCAAGCATTTCATAAATACAGCTTTAGGAACATAGTAACCCTTCCCTCTGTTGGTTGAATTAACAGATAGGGAATTCACTGATACAAAGGATTAACAGCACTTTATTTTTCACATACAAAATAAAATGTAACTTCTATACTTCTCAATGTGTACCTTTTGTGATTTCAACTAATTCATTTTAGATTTCCTTACAATTTGCCAAATAATTAGCATTTTGGGAAATTTTGCTGAGCAAGCATTCAATGCTACTGATATTATGTCAGTATAGAACAGTTTATAATGTGAAAATAATCAGCTGGGTTCCCTCAAGTTAGACTACAATGCTTTGTATCCACTCTAGTTCCTCTTTGTCCACCAAGTACCATTGTTGCTATGCCTTTCCTCTTCTGAATCTGGATAAGAAACAAAAACCATAAATAAAAGGCCCTGAAAGTCACTAAAATATATCTTTGTTACTGAAATACACATTATTATGATGCCACTGACCAAAGAGTTACAAATAGTCAAAACACTGCATCAGATACTGTACTCAATATAGCATCTGAGATCCTACAACATATTGTGGTACGTAGTAAGGACTCTACACAGCTCACCAGCCCCAGTCATCACTATTGCTGCACTGCATTAGGACAAGATTAACCTTATTGTAGATAATCTCCCTACATACAAGTTATAACTAGAAGGTGATTCTGCTCTGAGATCCAAGAAGTGTAGTAATTGAGAGCAGCTTGTATTTTGAATTGCTTAAGATCATTTTACACGGTACCATGAAAAAATATATTTTTATGTTTTGTTTCTTCAATTTTTGATGTGAGAAAACAAAGTTTAACAAAATTATTGGCAGTGATTGTAACTCATTGTGCCTGTCACTGAATGAGGGTTAGTTTCACAGAAGACTCTGAGGTAGGGAATTTTCACTTTTTTTTTTTTGTAAAGATTTATTTTATTTATTTGAAAGAGTTACAGAGAGAGGCAGAGACAGAGAGAGAGGTCCTCCATTCGCTGGTTCACTCTCCAGAGGGCCACAATGGCAGGAGCTGCGCCGATCCAAAGCCAGGAGCCAGGAGCCTCGACCTTCTTCCAGGTCTCCCACGTGGGTGCAGGGGTCCAGGCACTTAGGCCATCTTTCACTGTATCCCAGGCCACAGCAGAGAGCTGAAACAGAAGAGGAGCAGCCGGGACTAGAACCGGTGCCCATATGGGATGCCAGCGCTTCAGGCCAGGGCATTAACCCACTGTGCCACAGCGCCGGCCCTGGGAATTTTCACTTTTGAAACCTAAACTTAGACCATGGAATTACATTTAATAATAAAAACAAGCAGCATACAAAATACATGAAAAGAGACCAAAAAATACCACAAAGTAAGGAGTACAGTTAAAAACTCAGACTCATTGGATTTAAGGATATTAGTCCTTTTCAGAATACATTAAAAAATCACTACCAAATACCACAATGTAAGTCCAGTGCTCATATCACTAATTCTTTAAAAGGGGGATGCCCACCTACCATATCAGAATGACCAGGTTCAAGTCCCAGCTCCACTTCCAATTCGTTTCCTGCTAATGTGCACACTGGCATGACTCAAGTGTTATATCGAGTATAGTAGCCAATGCAATATTTTTGACGACAGACAGGAGACTCAAATTGCATTCCAGACTCCTGGCTCTGGCCAGGTCTACCCCCAGATGTTGCAGGATTTTGGAGAGACAGTGCATAGATCTCTCTCTCTCTCTCTCTCTCTCTCTCTGCCTTTCAAATAAATAAAAATAATCTAATTAATTTTAAAAAACACCCCATGCAGCATACCTGCTTAAACACTTCCAACAGCTGTTTATCACATACCTAAAAAAAGAGTGGAAATGGGGCCAGCACTGTGGCATAGTGGGTAAAGCTGCCGCCTGTGGTGCTGGCATCCCATATGGGCACCAGTTCGAGACCCAGCTGCTCCACTTCCAATCCAGCTCTCTGCTATGGCCTGGAAAAGTAGTAGAAGATGGCCCAAGTGCTTAGGCCCCTGCACCCACATGGGAGACCTGGAAGAAGCTCCTGGGTTCTGGCTTTAGACTGGCACAGCTCCGGCCTGTTGCAGTCATCTGGGGAGTGAACCAGTGGATGGAAGGTTCTCTCTCTCTCTCTGTCTCTCTCTGTCTCTCTCACACACACTCTCTCTCTGTCTCTCCTCTCTCTGTGTAACTCTCTGTCTCTCCTCTCTCTGTGTCTCTCCTCTCTCTGTGTAACTCTCCTCTCTCTGTGTAATGT